AAAACCAAGATGAAAAAAAGAATTAAAACAGTGCCACCACTCAGCCAGCACAGGCACACAGCACTGGGATATACATTTTTTTGTACGTTATGTGTCATAGACTGTATTCTTACAATAAAGTAAGCCAGAGGAAAGAAAATGTTATAAAAATATCATTAGGAACAGAAAAGATATTTACTGTTCATTAAAGGGATCATCATAAAGTCATCATCCTGGTCATCTTCATGTTGAGTAGGCTGAGGAGGAGGAAGAAGAAAAGGGGTTTGTCTTACTGTCTCACAGGTAGCAGGGGCAGAAGAAAACCTACATACAAGTAGACTTGTGTAGTTCAAACATGTGTTGTTCAAGGGTGAACTGTGTAGAGGACCTGCTACAAGCAAAAAGCTCTAGCAAGTACTATGTAAGACAGCTAAGAACTCTAGCAAGTACTATATAAGAAAACTAAGACACAGACACCACCTCCAAGGATTTTATAATCTAGGAGAGGAGACAGCAGGCACATGTAAAAGATGTGTTAATTCAAATAAATGTCTGCCTGTGCCAATTTTTATTTTTATAAAGTGAATGTATGCCAATTATATGAATGTAAAAAATTTAACGATATCTTTTGTTTTGTTTTGTTATTTGAGACGGAGTCTTGCTCTGTCGCCCAGGCCAGAGTGCAGTGCCACAATCTCAGCTCACTGCAACCTCTGCCTCCCGGGTTAAAGCAATTCTCCTGCCTCAGCTTCTAGAATAGCTGGGGAATATAGGCACATACTACCACATCCAACTAATTTTTGTATTTTTTGGTGGAGACTGGATTTCATTATGTTGCCCAGGCTGATCTTGAACTCCTGACCTCAAGTGATATACCCACCTTGGCCTCCCAGAGTGCTGGGATTACAGGCATGAGCCACTGTGCCTGGCCCAGATATCCCTTTTACAGTCTAGTGTTCTCTCTGCATACATGTTAGAATATGGCTTTTTGTCCTTAGATATCTAGGGGTTTTTATAATTTAGGAATGTGATAGGGGTATAATAAAAGATATGATCCAAGTGGTCATATAGCTTCAGATGCTTCAAAACAACACATTTGAAAGTAACAAATGGCTACTTCCTAGGACAGACCCCTCAGGGTATCTCCTAAGATGACCCTTTATTACTGGTTGATCCCAAGAAGGGAAATGATGGGCAGGAAAAATATTTCATAATGCTAGTTTGAACTGTGGAGTATCTGGAGTGTCTGGCTAGCCCCCAAAACAGCTCTGATTTAGGACTTCAGTAAGCAGATTGGCCTGTTTAGGAAGGTGCCCTTAAAAAGAATCTGTCCACCTGGGCAGTTCTCTGCATGGGTCCTTGTGGCATCAAACATTTATCAGTCTCGGTATTCATTATGCCTTGACGCCTCTAGGTTTGTCTGCACTGTGCATTGGATACTCAAACCACCACCTATTTTCATATCTACACAGAAGAGAGGGACCGTGTCATGCACCTTTTTGATATTTCAGTGTTTCTCAGCCCAATGTTATGTGTGAACTGATGAATTGTTATCTGCTAAAGAGCCACCTTTTGAGGAACCACACTATAGGGAAAGAAAGCGGTAATTTTACCATGCTCTGGAAGAGTATTCTTGCAGCATCACACCTGCTACAAATGAGATGTTCATTGTGGTCTGTATTTTGTTTGAAATGTTTCTGGGGTGATAAGCCCCTTCGTGGAAAAGTCTGAGAACCAGTGGGTTTGAAGAAGAAGGTCAAAAACACTGGAGAAAGTTTCTGTGCTGCTTATTTTTCTAGAAAAACAAGGAGGCAAATTGAAAAAGAAAAGAAGAAACATCACTCCCTTGGCAAACAGCACACACACTAAAGTGGCAAACCCACTGTAGATGAGGAGGATCGACAAAGTGGAAGTCATCCATCTCTTTGAGACTATAGAGAGGGAGCCACAGGGAGCACAGACTGAATGGAGAGTTCAGAGGTCAAAGGTGAAGAGGGGCATGGTCCACAATGTAAGATCACAGCTGTGCTATGTTGACACCAGCCAGGAAAAGCTTAGAGGTTAGAGCTGGTTCTGTCTCACTCCATAGCCATGTTGCTAGAATGCCAACTAACATTGCCTTTTTGTGTGTGTGAAGACAGAGTCTTACTCTGTTGCCCAGGCTGGAGTGCAGTGGTGCGATCTCAGTTTACTGCAACCTCTGTTTCCCGGGTTTGTGCCTCAGCCTCCTGAGTAGCTAGGATTACAGGCATGCACTACCATACCCAGCTAATTTTTTGTATTTTTACAGAAACAGGGTTTCACCACGTTGGCCAGGCTGATCTTGAACTCCTGGCCTCAAATGATCTGTTGCCTCAGCCTCCAAAATTGCTGGGATCATAGGCATGAGCCACCGTGCCTGGCCTATGTTGCCTTTCTTGGATAAGCCCTGGGCAAAACCCAACTTTCTTCTTTGTCAGTATTTGAATACTAGAAATGTAGGTCCTCCAGTTCTTTGCACACATTCCCAGGGGTGGGGGGAGATTGTATTTCTTTTTTTTTTTTTTTTTTTTGAGACGGAGTTTCGCTCTTGTT